TATATATATATGGTTTCTTTTAATTAGATTTTTAATAAGAGAGCTAGTGATTTTAATACTTTTCTTAGTATTTTTTTATTAATTATATGATTTCTTTTATTTTTGATACCTCACAGAACGAGACAAGAATTTTCCACAATTGCAATATTTGATTTCCTAAGAATCATGCTGACTAAGTACACAAAAGCAGTTCCCATTTTTTTTTTCACTTGCACACGACCATTTGCACACAATTACCCTCACATTGCTCCATCTTTCACGTCACTCACACACGATATCACATACACACATCTAACCAACAACTCACTCTTTTAAGGATAATCTCCATTCATCTATAAATATACATAAAAAGAAAGAGCAAAGGGGGAGGAATCTGAAGCAAAGAAATAAAAACGAAGGCAAAGAAGAGGAACGCAAAAAAAAAATGCTCTTCTCTTGTTCTTCAAGCTTCCAGAGAAGAAATTCAGATTCTAGCCATGAACACCACCTAAATTTTAGCTCCAAACAACCACCAAAAATTAGCTGTAACTGATGCAAAAAAAAAAAAAAAAAAAAACGCAGCAACAGTACTGCGAGAAACCAGCCATGTACAATATTATTTTTGGGATCGAGTTCAGTTAATGCTCCGGACGTTAGTCGCTAGTTCCGTTCGAGGTGTTGGTGAAGTCTAGTTAAGGTTACGCTTGAGGCTCTTAGTCCGTAGGAAGCTTTTATATACTTTGCATCAGTGCTATTGAGGTTCAATTCTTATCCCATTTTTAATTAATGCAAAAGTTCTTGGCACTTTCTTTGTCTTCATGCGTTTTTGGCTTTAACATAATTTTATTTCTTTTGTCTTTATATATGTATATACGGTTATCATCTTGAATTACCATATTAAATGGGTGATTTATAAATTTTGATGGTAAACGATTTATTTTATTTTTATTTACTAGATTTAGTACTTATTCCATGTTATGCCATATTTTTCATTTGTGAGTAATAAATACCTTGGTTCATTGTTGGCTAGTTTGTTGCTTAATACTGTTTTAGATTAATTTGTTGTCAGTTCTTATTTAAGTTTGATGCATAAGTATTACTGGTAAATTAACCGGGCAATGGGGGTTAATTAGAACTTGTAATTTGGGTTTACATTAAAGTGATTGATAACAATTGGGTCACGGTAGTATTGTGGAGTTGACAGAAACTTTTGTTTTGAGATAATTTTTTATAGTCAATGGGGCATGACAGCTTTAAGAAGCATTTGATCTAATTAGCCTAATGACTAGATTACATCATTTCCTCCGCAACAACTTTTATCCATAACTCTGTGGCCTCATATTGATTCCAAAATTAGAGAAAGAATAATTCAATTTCGCCAGTATGTGCGACTTATTTAATTATCGTGACCATGTACATGTTCGCGTGACATAATTACGATTTTTAAAATTAAAACCAAAGCGCATTCGTACAACTTTGGCAAAACAATCTTAATAATAATAAATTATAAAAATAAATATCTCGAATCTGAAAGAGACAAAAATAAATGAATACTCTGAATATGATAGAAAAATTTTAGACTCACTTTAAATATTAGCCTATGTGTTCATACCCGAACTTTGGATTGATATGCTTAAATAATAAAAGGATCATGTGCGCATTCCCACGTCTTGATACCTTTAAATTTAAATAGTTATGTTTTAATCATGTATACATTCCCATACCTTGGTTTAACATTCAATTTCAAATAAATACCTTGTGTGCATACCGCATCTAGGTCAAAACAATTAATAAAATTTAATAATTAATTAAGTGATATAATCAATAAAATACAAGAATAGTCATGAATTTATTTAAGCCGGACATTAGTCAATAGAAGCGACCGTACTAGAACCACGGGACTCGAGGGGTGCCTTACACCTTCCCCTCGGTCAACAGAATTCCTTACTCAATCTTCTATTTTCGTAGACCATAAATTAGGAGTCAAACCTTCCATTTAATGAGGGGTTCAAATAAAAGGTGATTTGGAACACCAAAACTCAATTCCAAGTGGCGACTCTAAATAATAAATAATCTCTTTTTCAAAGCGTCACTTTAATGTAATAGGGTTGTGGGACAAAAAGAGGTGTGACACTAGTTGTTGCTTACGGATTTATATATCATTATCACCTTTCATTTCTTTTGTAAACTGCTACTTATGTACGTTCCCATGAATTTAAAAGTGTAAATTTTCTTCCGTAGAAAATACTCATGCACTTGTGACACCCACGTATGGTAGTACCTCATATGGCAAAAAGTGTGGCTGCTAGAGCAACACCTGTGAAGCGTAGCTTATGTGCCACTTTACAATCAACAGGCCACACAATTGACGGTCCATATGGCACACATTTGAAGCGTGGTCTAGGTTATAAAACATTTCTTAAAAACAAATTTATACAAGCCATAATTTTGTGGTTGATGCTACAATCATATTTATTTCAAGAATATACATTTTTATCCCATTTTGATGATCTAAAGCACTAAAGTAGCTTATAAATTACATATTAGTTAAACTTGCAACAGACTTCGAAAAGACATATCTTATATACTATGGGTACTAATAACACAATGTTTTAAGATGTGCATTAGTAATGAACTCTACAAAAAAGAATGTATTAATATAGTATCATGAAGGCATAAATAATAAACATCACAATTGTTCAAAAGGTCTTCATCGTTCACTTCAGATTGAATTGTGGTCACCATTTCAGTTGCATTACCCGCATTTTCCTACACAGTCAAAATGAAATTAAGAATTAAAAAGAATATAAGTATACAATATCATATTGGAATCTGTAATATGGTTAATATTTAATGTACTATGTTGAATCAACAATATGGCTCCTATGTGAAAATTCAGATGATTAATCTTGGTTAGAGTAGACCTTTCATATAGTATCATGAAGGCATAAATAATAAACATCACAATTGTTCAAAAAGTCTTCATCATTCACTTCAGATTAAATTGTAGTCTCCATTTCAGTTGCATTACCCGTATTTTCCTACACAGTCAAAATAAAATTAAGAATTAAAAAGAATATAAGTATACAATATCATATTGGAATCTATAATATGGTTAATATTTAATGTACTATGTTGAATCAACAATATGGCTCCTATCTGAAAATTCAGATGATTAATCTTGGTTAGAGTAGACCTTTTATGCAATATGGTATAAAGTTGCTTGTTAATTCGAAGTTACAACTTACATACAAGTTTGCATAATAATACAGTATTGAATATGATGAACTCATTTAAACAAATTTCTGAAAATAGGGATGAATACAGTAAATAACTCAAGTAACAACTCAAGCACAGAAAGAAGTATAAAAATGAAAATAGTAAGAAAAGTTCACAACTGATATACAAGTTCTTAAAACAATGTTAAAAATGATAACACATTTAAACACACATTTCCGAAAATAGGTATGATAACGGTAACTGGCTCAATTGGAGCAGGTACTAGCTTTGACATAAAAATACTAACACAAGCAGAACTTTGGAAAAAAAAAAAAAAAAAAAAAAAAAAAAAAAAAAGGCCAGACAACAATACATCAAGAACCACTATGCAAATCTCATGACATATGCCAACAAAGACTTAACATTTGCAAGGGAAGTGTAACTGGAATTATAATGCCCAAAGGCATAAAATAATTAAAATTATTCTGCATTCACATCACATACATTTTACATTCTAGAGCAAAGTAAAAGTGAAACACTAATAAAGCAGTGAAGTAGTCAGATTTCTTTCCAATCCCAAAGATAAGTACAGAAAATATCCCGCTAAGGATGTAAATGCCAAAATGAAAGTATCATTGCATAGTGTATTTGAGTTGGATAAAGTCTTCCATACTTGTTGAGTTCAAAAATATTTGCATAGAGTTTGTGAGTTGGATAATAAGTTTCACAATGAAACACTAACCTCTTTTTTTTTATAATCATGGTATCCGGGCCAGCTTGCACGCACCTCGATTAATTTCACGGGATAGTGTCACCTCCCACCAACAACAAGTATTAGATAACTCTATCCACCAAGGCTTGGAATGATGGGAAAAAATCACCTAGTGTTTTTGTTTTCATCGGAATTTTAACCTGAAACATCATGGTTTTCACTCACTTCATTGACTGCTATATCACACCCCTGATTGCTTGAAATACTAACCTCTCTTCCTTGTTCAGATAGTGTTAAAATTCTCTAGTGCCTAATCACAAGAAAAAGTCTTCTTCAAGAATAGGAAAAAGTTAAAACAAAAAGGGAAAGTAGCACATTGGATGATCAAGCATCCGAGCAAATGAAATTAGGGTCGGCAAAAAAAAGAATAGGACAAATTATATTCCTACATGTTCTATTAGTAACATTCCCTTGAGATCTTACTGCGGATTTTGCTTGTGGTTAATCTTTCCCAATTAAGAATCATACAAGAATTTCTGAAAATTTTGCATACTGAGCTTTTTGTATAGGTGTCCCCTGGATAATAATGTATGAAGAAAGGAGGGGAAAAGGCAAAACAACTTAAGATCCTAGTCCTCTTAGAAAGGGAATGGATCATTTTCCCGATTATTCAGATCTTCACGGGTTTGAGACAATCCTCTATTCAAGTACTCTTTCTTCTACTCGAGCCTCGGCATAGCCTAAACATATCTGTCAAATGAAGAATATATACTTGTGAAGTTAACACTAAGCAACCATTGTGAAAATATCCATAGTTTCAAACCCAAATAGTAATATAACTCTATGCTACCTTAGCATATTTGCTCCCTTGATACTCAGAGAATAAATTCAGAACAATCAAAATTTACCTTTTCACAAATCAAACCATAAGTTGACCATAGAAATGTTGAAGATGTCGGCTTCTCATATCCCGTGCACTACTCGCATCAATCAGAGAAGGTAAGTTAGATTCGACATACCCTCCTATATCTGAATGTACAGACCAAAGTTGGTTGCACCAATACATTAAACAAGATGTCGCAATTGTTCTCGTTCCTGCACTTCTTCCTTCATGTCTTGCATTTCATCATTCACAGAAAATAACTGAATCTAAGCAAGAGTTCATTTCAAAACAACAAGTGTATCAAATATGAATTTTCAAAAAATGTTTAATCATTTGGGCAGTAATAACATTAATTAAGCAAAGAGCTAATGAATGAAAATAATCCTAACGAAGAAATCAAATAAAAAATTAAAAAAAAAAAAACTAAAGAAAGGAAAAACATTAGCAGCTCGAAACTTAAAACGACAGATATATCGCATTCATATGCAAGCTCAAGACATAATAGGTATAAGTTAAATTAAGAAGCAACACTTAGAGAACAATCAGTATCTATATGTTTGCCCTGTGGAAAGAGGTGCATCCACACATGTGAATAATAAGAACAATCAATATCTGTATGCTTGCACTGTGGAAAAAAGAGCATACACATATGCGAATAATAAGAACAATCAATATCGGTATCTATCATTACTCACTACAGTTGGTATTGTATTCATATAAGAACAAAAAAGATAATCCTTAACTAATATATACAGTTTATACATTGGAAAGAAACACGACAAGTATATTCATAAATATTGCCAATTATATTTTCACTAGATGAATAATATTTCACTTGAATGAAAGATAATCCTTCAGCAATAATCATTTTGTTCATCTGTTCGCCATTAAGAGAAAATCTTATTTAGCAACAACATCGCAAAACTCTACCAAGAAACTGAATTAAACTTCTAACTGTTTTGACTCCACTATCAAAATTAAAGGTGCAAGAATTAGATTTGGATTCAGACCTAGGCTATAAAAGTATTTTCTAATAACATGATTGTAAAAAGGAGATATTTCAACTAAAATAATTTACTTAAAGAACGTTGAAATTAATCCAATCTACGGCTAAGAAGAATTGGATTCACTTGTTATGCGACTAAGCTTCAAATTAATTTCTCTACATAGTTAGAGTAAGGTTATAGCTTTGGAAGTATACTTAAAATATTTTTTGGCTAAATATTAGACTAAAATTGTATGCGAGAATCAACATCAAAAGAAACAAAGCATCGATAAGATCTAAACTCGGTGATAAAGAAAAGGAAGACTACCAAGAACGAAGCTAAGTCATTTATACGAATCCCTTAGTTTAATCACGAAGGTTGTGAAAATAGCTAGCTGGGTCACGCTCAAGTCATCCCTGTAAATGTAATCACCTCTTGGAGCTTTCATCATTTTTGAGTTGCACCATTCATTTGAGCCACAATAAATGAAGCAAAAATGGTTTAAGTAGAATAATTGTCAGAGTTAGGGTTATTCGACAATGGAGATTTTTAATTGTGCCCTAGGAGATATGATAATCTGATGTACTACTCAAATGCTTATTAACTACCGAAAGGAAAACACAAAAAAAGGATGAAATTTAGTAGAGTAGTAAAGAGATACAAACACATACAAAGACCCATTTCAATATAGCACAGGGATCTGCTTCGACAAATTTCTCTGCGACACCCATTCTTTCCATCAGCTCCTTCGGCGGCTCAATCTTTCCATATCGTAAAAATATGCCATTGTGTGTAAGAGTTTTGGGAGCTATAAATTTTGGGAGGTTTCCACGAAATTAAAGCAAGGAATTGAAGAAATTGAAACACTAATGAAAAATGAAAGGGAGATGAAAATATCAAAAACAAATTCAATAGGGCTAGCCTATTGCCTAATTGATGGAAATTCTTTTTTCTTTTTGTCAACTAATTGATGGACATTTAGCGGAGGTTGAACGGAGAAAGGCAATTCGAAATTGATTTCCCGAGTATACTTTTCATAATAGGGGGAAGGTTTTGGTGAAAATTTTAAAATTTTATTGGAAAACTTAAGAGCACACTTGCAAAGTGTAGTTTTAGAATTAAGAAATAGAAACGCTTCAAAAGCGTTGCTGTACGAGTGAATAAGTGTTGCCAAACACTTCATGATTTGGCAATGCTTAAATTGTGTAGTCTTTATATTTAAGAAGCATACTTTTTAAGCGTTTCATAAATTCGTGGCCAGAAGCTTTCCACAAAGACCACCCTATGAAAAGCGTGCCCATAAATGGTTTTGGCAACACTTTTTAACCGTTGTCTGATATTAGTGTTTCCTTATGCCTAAAATGTTGTAGTGGAGAGGCAACGCCTACGGATGGCAATGGGGCGGTGTGTGTAATGACCCGACCGGTCGTTTTGAGCTCTAGCGCGTCGTTCAGCAGTTTGAGGCCATGAGCAACTTCACTTCAGGTATTATGACTGGTACGCGTGGTCAGAATTAAAATTTCGGAAGTTCAGAGTTGATTTAAAAAGAAAATTCTCATTTCGGAAGCTTTAAGATGGAAGAATTGACTAAGGTTGAATTTTGAGTAAACGATCTCGGAATCGGAATTTTAAGGTTCCAACAGATTCGTATGATGAATTCGGACTTGGGCGTATGTCCGGATCGAATTTTTGATGACCCGGGAGCATTTTGGCGCCTATTGTGGAAGTTGGCATTTTGGAAGAATTTTATAAATTTGGGTTGAAGTGCATTTCAATGTTATCAATATCCGTTTGGGATTCTGAGTCTGGAAATAGCTCCGTATGGTGATTCTGGAATTGGGAGCGTGCCCGGAAGTAGATTCGGAGGTCCGTAGGTCATTTTGGAGTCATTTAGCTAAAGCTAGAAATTTGAAGGTTTTTTAGAAGTTTGACCGGAAGTCGACTTTTTGATATCGGGATCGGAATCCAATTCAAAAAGTTGGAGTAGGTCTGTAATGTCAAATGTCACTTGTGTGCAAAATTTGAATACAATCGGACGTGATTTGATAGGTTTCGGCATCGATTGTAAAAGTTGAAGCTTCAAAGTTCATTAAGTTTGAATTGGAGTGCGATTCATGAATTCGATATTGTTTGATATGATTTTAGGTCTCGAGAAAGTTTGCGTTATGTTATGCGACTGGTTAGTATGATTAGGTGGGGTCCCGGGGGGACCTCGAGTGTGTTTCGGGGTGGTTTCGGGTCATTTGGAGCTCCTTGGGAACTGCTGTTGCTGGTGTCTGGTGTCCTTCTTCGCGAACGCGAAAGAAGTCCCGCGTTCGCGAAGAGGAAAATTGTGGAGCTGTTGAGATTGGCCTTCGCGAACGCGAAGGTTGAGACGCGAACGTGGTGAAGAACTTGAGGAACCTACGCGAACGCGAATGGGGAGTCGCGAACGCGTAGAAGGAAATGAGGACTGGGCCTGAGGATGTTTGGCTTACGCGAACGCGAGGCTGGGTATCCGATCGCGAAGCAGTGGGGCGGAAAGCTTTGCGAATGCGTCGTGAGGAACGTGAACGCGAAGGAGCTTTTCTGGGCCTAGGTTGGCTGAGCTTTGCGAACGCGAAGGGGTTGCCGCGTTCACGAAGAAGGAGTCGGACTGGGCAGTGAGATGTTTTAAAACGGGATTTTTTGCCAATTTCACTTCATTTTCTCCATGGGAGCCGGTCTTGGGGCGATTTTGGAGCTCCATCTTCATCTATATCAAGGTAAGTAATTCTCACCTATTGCAAGTTAAATACATGGTTTATAGATGGATTTAGACATGAAAATTTGTAGAAATTGTGGGATTTTGGTTGGAAACCTAGAAATTGGTATTCTTGAATTTTGATCACGAATTTGGGCATGAAATGGAGAATAAATTATATATTTTAATTAGTGGATTTATGGGTAAAGTTTATCTTCAAAATTTTTTGAAATCCGGACACGTGGGCCTGAGGGTAAAATTATCAACTTTTCGAACGGAGTTGGAAATTGTTATAAAATGATTAATTATGAGTATTAGAGTATATTTTGATTCGGTTGCGTCATATTTGACTAGTTTTGGAGCGACGAGCATCAGTTTAAATTGTCGGAGCGGCCTTGGAGCCTATTATGGAATTTCGGAGCAAGGTAAGTCTCCTTTCTAATCTTGTAAGAGGAAATTAACCCCATAGGTGAATTAAATTATTGTGTGCTTCTATTTGTGGGGGCTACGCATGCACGAGGTAACGAGAGTCCGTACGTAGCTACTAGCTATGCCTATGTCCGGGTAATTTTAGGCTCACATCATGCCTTGTTGATATTGTTATTGATTTATGTTTATTGTCTGCCTTGAAAGGGAGCGAAATTGAGTTTGCTTATTAAATATTTTTGAAAGGAGTTGAAATTTAAGAACGTAAGATTTAAAAGAGTTCGTTTGAACTTAGTAATTTCGAAAAGGATTGACTAATGCTATAATAGCTTAAAAAATCTATGTGTAACCACGCCGCATATATGTTTCGCGAGCGGGGTAATTTCCTTAAAAAGCTACAAGATGAATTTCTCTTATTTTGAAAAGAATCAAGAAATAGATATGATTTTAATGTTAAATTTATATTTGATCGGGTCGCAAGTATGATCCGCGAGAGGGGAGATTCCTTAAATTTATATTTGATCGCGTCGCACGTATGATTCGCGAGCGGGGTATTTCCCTCTACCACTCTTATGGGATCGGGTCGTTCGCCTCGGCAGTATTTAGGTACCACACTCTCATGGGAGCGGGCTGTTCGACTCGGCAGATTAATAGATGCATCTATGGTTCGCATCGTTCGACCCTCGGCAATACACAGTTTACTATTATGTTGGATCGGGTCGTACGCCTCGGCATTTCCTNTTATGTATATGCTCCGGTTATGGAGGGAACTTTCTAGTTGAGAGCTTGAGTAAATTGTGAAAAGAAAAATTATACTACGTATTTTATACTTGTTTGTTTCAAATATTTACTCTGTCTCATATTCATTCACTTCTTTACTGTACCTGATATTATTGGACCACTAGTAAGTGTCGAAGTCGACCACTCGTCACTACTTCTTCGGGGTTAGGCGGGATACTTACTGGGTACACGTGGATTTACGTACTCATATTACACTTGTTGCACATTTTTGTGTAGGTGCATATATGACTAGCAGCCTGCCGGGCGCAGAGGTGTGGTTAAATGCGGAGACTTAGGTGAGCTGCATTCCCATCTACGATCCGCAGCCAGCAGAGTCTCCTTCGTAGTTACTTATGTATTTTCCTGTCTAATTTGTATTCTGGACAGGTATTGTATTTTATTTTATCTTCCTAGTTGATGCTCATGCACTTGTGACACCGGATTTTGGGGTGATTATGGGTTGTCTTGTATTGAAATTATTGAAAATATTATTATTTACTTTGTAAACTCCATCTTTTGCTATTTAATTGAAGGTAACTATGAATTCAAAAGTAACAAAATGAGACCCTAATTAAGTATTTATTGTTGGCTTGCCTGACAGTGGAGTCCGGCGTCATCACGACCTTTATGGATTTTGGGTCGTGACAATATGGTATTAGAGCACTAGGTTCAGTTAGGTCTCACGAGTCATGAGAAAGTCTAGTAGAGTCTTGCGGATCGGTACGGAGATGTCTATACTTATCTTCGAGAGGCTACAGGGCTGTAGGAGCACTTACCTTCTTAATTCCTCATCGTGCAATTTGATTCCTTTGAGGCTTATACCTTCATTTCCTTCCCGTTCAATCTTGTGTGACGTGAAGCGTTGGTTACAAATCAGGAATTGAGGAATTTTAATAGAACTACAGATGTGGTGCGGAATGTTTCTCCATGCGTAGTTGTTTGGGCTATTGTCGTCGCCTTGCGGAAGGATATTCTGTCATTTCAGCTCAGTAACTATACTTCTGAGAGCTTTGAGGCTATACACAGGTTGCTATGGTGCTCAAGATTTGTTGTCGCACAGTATTGATGTGATGGTAGAATGCTTGCCTATGTGTCGGGACAGTGAATGACTTGGAAAGAGGTTTACTTAGTGCATGATTCCGAGATTCAATATCTTATTTCGGCAGAGGAAAAGCAATTGGCCTATGAATGTCTAGATTTGGGTTGATGGAGTAATGAGGCTTGGTATTTTCTAGTGTGATGGAATCTTCATCCGAGGTGTGGTGTCATCGTCCTTGATTGAATGTGTTGAGTTCGCTGGTGTTATGATTTTCTTCGATTCGCCTTTGGGGCAGGGTAGCATATGGGTTCTGTGGTAGGATGATTACACGCCTTGAGAAAGTTTAGAGTGAATTGGGATTCATGGTGGATCGTGACTAGGTCTACGGACTTAAATTGGAATATTGGCTGCTATATTGAGGAAGATTGGGTGTGACAGGATGGAGTTGCTTGATATGAAGAAGGATACAACATGACTTTGGATTGGAATGTATTGTCGCACCTTTAGTTGATGTCCATGAGGAGTGAACGAACCTGTACAGCTGGTGAATGAGCTCGGGCTCAGGATGGGTTACTGATTTCGTAGTTATTGTACCTAGTGCAGCGGCATTGGATGATATCAGCATGGAATATCCACAGGGGGGTTATCTCCTGTGAGCAGGTTAGCGGTTGTGTGGTATTGATGGGGCTATCACGAAAGAATTCTACTGGTTATCCGGCAAGAGGTCGAATATGTGAATGTGGTTAGTGATTTAGAGTGTTCAAGAGAGGTTAAATGGAAGGATTTCGAGGAATTTGGCGAGTTGGTTATGCAAGATTAGTTCAACGATGAAGAAAGAATCTTGGCGAGTTCTAGAGTTATGCAATGGTAGCTTCAAGCTAAGTGAGAGAGTTCCACCGCCTACGGTTGGATTGCACGGTCGACTAATTGTGAGATTTATGGTTATCGGCATATTGGTGGGATATTATGACTAAGGAATAGGGTCACTAGTGGTGATTTGGGCAAAGAATTTGAGGAATGTGTGCTATAATTGGCCTTATCGATTCATGTTCAGGCTTTGGGAAGACTCAGAGTTTATGTTTCGTATAGATATGATGTACAAGGAAAGCGATTCAGTCAGGTGCTTATTGAGAGAGTGTTCATGTGCCAGCAGAGCCTTGGAGTTGATTATATTCGGAACTAGGTCAGAGTGGGTGACTCGCAAC